GTTGATTAATTAAAAGTTATAAAGCTTATAAAAATATATCTAATGATAGTTAGATTATCTAAATTAGATTAGTAGATATACCATATATTGCCAAAAATAAGCTACCTTTTTTGAAGCAATTTTGGATACAAAAAATAAATAGTAGCTTATTTTCGGGTTTATAATTATTTAAGAAATTTATATTTAATAATAGGGTAGCTTATTTTCGGGTCTTTATTATGATATATGATCTATGACTCAAGCATCACCTGCAAAAAATGGTAGCCAGACAGATCTGTCAGGTTATATTATTATTATATAATTCAAATTTGATTATGGACAATTCAATTTTGATTACTAATCAGAAAATGTTCTAAGCATATTTATGAATTGTTATCAAATAATAAATATGGTCTTTAAGAATTTTTTAATGAATAACATGAATCACTTAAAATTTTATTGTTTATATACGTTTTCTTATAGTTATATTTATTTTGGACCAATAGGTTAATAATTTCAAAATATGTGCTTCATTTAGTATGTACTATAAAAGCGTTTATGGACTAAGCTAATGATCTAAAGGTTATAAATAATAGAATTGACTAGGGATTGAAATCATTTAACTATTTAAAAACTGCTCCATAGTTCTGGGCAGAATTATGTTAGTTGTGAACTGGAATAATGTTAATGCCAGTGAAATTAAACAGTTAAACGATTAAGAAAATTTTTAGGCAGTTCCAATCTCTAGAATTGACCCAACCCCTACAGCAGATGTCGCAACTGCTAATAGAACAATACTATATTGAAATGACACATGCAATAAAACTATAGAACAATACGATAGAACAATATAATATTAAAAATAACACATACCAACAAAACTATATCAATAAATTACCATGTTAAATTCACTTCATGTGAAACCAAATTTTTTTACTTCTAGTTTTTACTTTTCAGTATCTTAAACAGGTCAACTAACTTTTATTTATAACTTAAAAAGGCTATCAGTTTTGACACACAGCATAAATATTTTTATGTACTTTATATTTAAGCTTATTATTGTACATGAATTTTTTTAGCTAAAAAAATGAATATATCAATATATTATAAAAAAAAACCCCACAAATTTCACTTTAAAAATATCATTCATCAGATTTTAAAACCCAGTTATCCTTTTTTTCTTAAAAAAAAAAATTTATGAATAGAATTAGAAACTCTTATACAGTTGAAGAAAAGTGTAGAGTAGTAGAATTAGCTCATCATACTTCAAATTCACATGTAGCATAACTTTATTCACTGGATTTAACAATGCTTGGTCATTGGGTCAAAAAATTTTTCCAAGATTCTTCTCGTCATCCTCAAAAAAATGCATGAAGCATTGGTTCTGAATGTCATGTGTTTTTTTCTGAAGAGGAGGCTCAACTTTATGAATAGATAATGATAGTTCGTCAGAATGGTCTCACAGTCACTTATCCTAATATAAAACTGAAAATGGCTGAAATCTTGGATGAGAGTGCTAAAAAAATGAAGGATAGTTCTAAGAAGCTTGCAATTAATCAGTTCAAGTTTTCAACATGTTGGCTTAATCATTTTTTAAAACATCACGATCTTTCTCTTCGACGTAAAACTAAAATTGCACAAAAGTTACCAGAAGACCTTGAAAATCAGTTACTTAACTTTCAGTAATTTGTTATTTGCCTTTGTCTAAAAAATAAATATTTTCTTGAAATGATTGCAAATATAGATGAGACTCCAGTTTGGTTCGATATGGCAAGTAGTTTAACCATGAATCCCAAAGGTACAAAAACTGTTTATATTCAAATAACTGGAAATGATAAGAATAGATTTACTGTAGTTTTGACATATCTTGCAAATGGTAGAAAGCTACTATCTATTATTATCTTTAAAGGTAAGGTTTGGCCACTAATACACTACCACTACCAGCTAGTGTAGTAGTTTGGTTTCACAAGAAAGGGTGGTTAGATGAGTCTGGAATGAATAAATGGATAAAGTATTGGAATAATGCATAGTTAGGACCATGTAATTCAAGAGCAATGTTAGTTTTTGATTCTTTTTCAGCTCATATTATAGATCAGGCTAAGGCTGAATTTTGTTCAGGAAATACAGATTTGGCTATTATTCCTGGGGGCCTTACTAGTATGTGTCAGCCTCTTGATTTTTGTATTAACAAACCTTTTAAGAATAAACTTCATAAGCATTGGCATAGATGGATGGTGAATGGTGGCAGTGGTCTTACTAAAAAAGGAAACTTAAAGCATGCCGATTTACAGATAATATGTCATTGGGTTTTGAATGCTTGAAAAGATATTTCTGAAGGCATTATTGTCCAGGCATTCAAAAAATGTGGCATTTCTAATTGTATGTTAGGAAGCAAGAATCATTTTATCTATAATAGTAATGAGGATAAAGAAAATTTAAATGAAAATTTAAATGACAATGAGTCTGATGATGATAGTGAAGAAGAGGTGTCTAATGATAATGAAGAGTTGATGTTTAATGATGTGAAAAGATGGTGTCTGATGATAGTGAAGAAGTATCTGATAAAGATAGTGAAAAAAAAAATTCGACGAAGATGGTGAACCTAATGATAATGACTAATCTGGTAATAAAATAGGCAAGTAATTAAATTTCTTTGTCATAATTGAAAGTATAGATAAGAATCATTATTTAAAAAATATAATTTTACATATTGTAAATTAAATTTAATTAATTAACTTTATATCTCTTAACAGGTTTAATGTTACCATTTATTAATTAGACTTTACATAATTACAAATGATGGTTAAATCTATTATAATGATGCAATAAAGCATAATAAAATCTAGTTTTACTAATTGTGTGCCTCTTTAATTATACAATGGATTTCAAACATTAATGTAAATTATTATATTTTAAGTTTATTTTTTATACATTTATTTGATTTACTTATTTATTTATGTATTTATATATTTATTTATTAATTT